GAAATTTGGGAAATCCATTATGATATAAAGAGAGAAATGAAAATTATCTCTCTCTACCCAAAGCCAATGACAATTAAACATGTTGATGCATATTCTATTCTTACCAGTACTTCATTACATAATATAATATATTTTAATATAATATTTCTGTTATCTGTGATGAACATTTTCTATATTTCCAGTTGTTTTCTGTGTGAATATTTACAATCATTTTCTCAGAATAGATTTTTAAACTTGAATGTAGGGAAACAAATTAAATGAATATTTGTAAATTTGAGGTAAATTGATCTGGAGAAAAAAATGTTAGCTTAAAACATTTATTGAGCCAGGCGGCGGTGGTACAGGCCTTTAATCCCAGCACTTGGGAGGCAGAGCCAGGCAGATCTCTGTGAGTTCGAGGCCAGCCTGGTCTACAGAGTGAGATCCAGGACAGGCACCAAAAGTACACAGAGAAACCCTGTCTTGAAAAACAAAACAAAAAAAATTATTAAATATTCATCAGAAAGCAAGCCTATGCTAGTTATCTGGGATTCAAACTATGTCAGATATATTCTCTGTTAGGGAAGACCTAATGCTTGAGTACTTATGTTATTTAAATGATAGGTTCTAACCATAGATTAATTTTTAATCACTTATTTGTTTTGTTGTTGTTGTTGCTTTATTTTGAGACAAGCTTTCACTGGCTGGCATGGAACTCACTATGTATCCCAGGCTGGCCTCATAGTCACAGAGATTCACTTACCTCTGCTTCCTGAGTGTTTGGTTTAAAGACATGTGTTCCCACACAAGGCACCCAGTCACTGATATTCTAAAAATAACTTCCTAGTTCTTGAAACTAATCAAAATTTTCTTTATATAATAAAGCAATTTTTATGTTATTATCAAAGTTGTTTTGTGAATAATTATTTATACATTGAAGATTAGGTTAATTTGGTCTTGAAATGGAAATGGCCTTTTTGTTCGATTAGAGGTTGTATGTAAAAACAATTATTCTCAAAATGGTTTCCACTGGAAGCCTGCTAATCCATGACTTTGAAGTCCTGGTTGAATTGTGTTTCATATCTCCTTTTTCTCCAGGTCTGGCCACTGTCAGCAAGCACAAGCCATTTTGAGTATTAACAAACTCCAAGAGACATAAGGAAGGGTGGATAGAAACGGACTCTCCTTCTGGGCAAAGATGAATGATAAAGAATTTCCACTGACATTTGATAACAGCCATAACTGACAAAATATACATGCATTCAATTCTATGAATAAAATGTTAATCTAGGAAATCCTCTGTCAATACCTGTACTAAGAACCATGCACCACTCACTGTTGTTTCTAATCTTGTTTTAGAAAAGCAGAAGGGCGTTATCCATTTTGATATTTCTCTTGCTTCCTGAAAATATGGTGGTCTGAATTCAGGAGTTAAACAACAATTTTGTGCAGTTAAGCATGCTAAGTAACAGAAACGACAGTTATCAGATAACGGGCTAGAAGAAAAGACGTAAGATGACAAAGTCAGGGAAGAAATGGCCCAGTTTTTACCTACTCCCCACTTCCTTTTTCAAACTCTTAATTCAACATTGCTTTTCCAAAGCATGACAGTGGTTTTGTAGCCCTATAGTGGAGAGATTCAATTTTCAGAGTGAAGAATAAATGGATGAGAGTAAGGATAAACATATATCTAATTTGAACAGCTCCTCTGTGAACCTATAAAATACCTTACATTTTTAGAGGACCATTATCATACTATTAACTAAATTTTGTGGGTGCTTGTATGCACAGTGGTTCACACAAAATATTTATCATTACCTTAGATCAAGCATTTCTTCTGTACAAATGCTGAAGATGTATAGAAATGTAAACTTTACTGATAAAGCAATCTCAGGCCAGTGAGAAAGTTTGTCTCAATGTTTGGCTTGACCTAACAGAGTTTCTCTTGGGCTTATATCCTCAACAGAACCCTAGCACCTTGGGTAACAAAATGGCCTTTAAGCTTGAATGAACAGGCATTTCTTTTCCCCTACTTCAAAGCTTCACTATTTCATCTTTTCAAACTCTTTTACTGCATGCAGTGCAGAATTATATTGACAAGGGTGGAATTTATCTCCAAGAGGAGACAGCTATGCTTCTGTTAAGTGCTAATATAACATTTATGTGTTGGTGCCTTAATAACAGCCCAGCTTACCTAATGAAAGTTGAAAGCAAACAGTACTCTCTGAGATTTTATTATGACTGAAGTGACTGCAATTTGAGGCAAATTATCCCTATTTTTGTTCCCATATCAAAAACAGAGCCACTAAAGCAATTGCCACATGTTTGGTATGGAATTAGGCTCCACTCTCATTAATCTACAAGGAAGAGCATTTTTCATGTAAACAGCTCACAAGGGTCAGAGAGAAGAGCTGTTTCTGTGAAAAATGCTTGTCAATAACTTTGTGAGTGAATTTTGAAATAAAGTGCCTGTAGCCTGTCATTATTCCTTCCTCTCAGAGTCGAGAGTGAGTGGATGAAAATTGAGCCTGTGAATTGGAAACGGGGCGAGTGTTATGGCCTTATCGACTCCAGGTAAAACGACTGTTTTAACTTGTTATTATTTTTCCATTCAGAGGTCAGGCAATGTACAGTATTACCAGCATGGACTGCAGTGTAAGCAAATTGGTATACAAAAAGGCTATTACCCACACTCATGGGGTAGAGGAAAGCGAAAGTCACCAGGATCCAGGAGACGTGTGATCTACACAGAAATGAAATAACCAACAGGGCTTTGAAAAAGAATAGTGTGGGTGTGTAAGAATGAAGCGCCAAGAAGACAGAAAATTATAAACCTGGGTAAATACACACTCACATGTATAGAAAGCAGTTGGAAATTATGCATCCTAAGGTCCGTTTTAAAGCACATTCTAATTATTCCTGTTTGCAAAGAAATTGTGGGGCCACACTGAATATTAGAAATCTCTACCATACATATTACCTTGATGCTTCCCTGCTGAGCTTACCTTAAACATTTTCAGTTGCTAGATTTTCAAGTCCACTTGACATATTCTTTTTCAATGCTAAAAGTTTTCTGAGTTCTTTCTTAGAGGAAAGAGTCAATTTAGAATATTAAAAAATCTTCTTTTGATTTCCAAAGTGGCTGTACAAGTTTGCCTTCCCACTAACAGTGTAGGAGTGTTCCCCTTGCTCCACATCCTCTCCAACATAAGCTATCTTCAGTGTTTTTGATCTTAGCCATCTGACAGGTGTAAGATAGTATCTCAGAGTCATTTTGATTTGCATTTCCCTGATCACTAAGGATGTTGAACAATTCCTTAAATGTCTTTCAGCCATTTGAGCTTCTGCTGTTGAGAATTCTCTGTTTAGCTCTATAGCCCATTTTTTAATTGGACTGTTAGGTATTTTGATGTCTAGTTTCTTGAGTTCTTTATATATTCTGGAGATCAACCCTCTGTCAGATGTGGGGTTTGTGAAGATCTTTTTCCATTCTGTAGGCTGTCATTTTGTCTTATTGACCGTGTCCTTTGCCCTACAAAAGCTTCTCAGTTTCAAGAGGTCCCATTTATTAATTGTTGCTCTCAGTGTCTGTGCTACTGGTGTTATGTTTAGGAGGTGATCTCCAGTGCCAATGCGTTCAAGACTACTTCCTACTTTCTTTTCTATCAGGTTCAGAGTAACTGGATTTATGTTGAGGTCGAAAAATTGGGAATCAATCATCCTTAAGACCCAGCTATACCACTCTTGGGCATATACCCAAGGAATGCTCAGTCATACCACAAGTACACATGCTCAACTATGTTCATAGCAGCATTATTTATAATAGCCAGAACCTGGAAACAACCTAGATGCCCCTCAACTGAAGAATGGATAAAGAAATGTGGTACATATATACAATGGAGTACTACTCAGCAGAGAAAAATGATGATATCATAAGGTTTGCAGGTAAATGGATGGAACTAGAAAATATCATCCTGAGTGAGGTAACCCAGACCCAAAAGGAAAAACATGGTATGTACTCATTCATAAGTGGATAGTAGATATAAAGCAAAGGATAACCAGACTGCAGCCCACAGCTCCAGGGAGGCTAGTTAGTAAGGAGGACCCTAGGAAGGGTGCATGGATTGCCCAGTGATAGAAAAATGGATAAGATCTACATGAGCAAACTGGGGGTGAGGGGGTTTTAATGGAGGGCAAGGGACGGGGAATGAGAGCTTAGAGGAGCAGGGGGTTCGAGCTGGAACAGGAATAGAGTGGGAGAGCAAGGAAAGAGATACCATGATAAATGAAGACACCATGGGAACAGGGAGAAACAGAGTGCTATGGAGATTCCCAGGAATCCACAAGGATGATTCCACCATAGACTACTGGCAATAGTCAAGAGGGTGCCTGAGCTGGCCTTCTCTGGTGATCAGATGGCTGAATACCCTAACTGTCATCATAGAACCCTCATCCAGTGACTGATGGAAGCAGATACAGAGATCCACGGCCATGTCCCAGGCGGAGCTCCAGGAGTCCAATCGATGAGAGAGAGGAGGGATTCCATGAGCAAGGGATATCGAGACCATGACTGAAAAAAGTACAAAGACAACTAGCCAAACTAGTGGAAATGCATGAACTGTGGACCAATAGCTGAGGAGCCCCCATGCTACTGGACTAGGTCCTCTGGATAAGCGAGCCTGTTGTTGAGCTTGAACTGCATAGGGAACCCCCAGGCAGTGGGATTGGGACCTGTCCCTAGTGCATGAGCCAGTTTTTTGGAGCCTAGTGCCTGTGGTGAGACACTTTGCACAGCCTTGGTGCAGGGAGGAAGGGCTTGGACCTGCCTCATCTGAATGTACCAGGCTCTGATGACTCCTCATGGGAGAGCTTGCCTTGGAGGAAGTGGGAATGGGGGGTGGGTTGGGGGGAGTCCTGGGGGGGCAGGAGGTCAGGGGAATCTATGGTTGGTATGTAAAATAAATAGAAAATCTCTTAATAAAAAAAGAAAAAAGAAAAGAAAACCTTCTTTTGACTTCAAAATTATTTTTTTCATGTTGAAGAACACCTTGGGAATTTTAGTATGGCCATACTAAATTGACAACCCTTCTCTCTGTCTCTGTCTCTGTCTCTGTCTCTGTCTCTGTCTCTCTCTCTCTCTCTCTCTCTCTCTCTCTCTCTCTCTCTCTCTCTCTCTCCCTCTCTCTCTCTTTCTCTCTCTCCAAGTCATTTGGGTATGTAGAAGTATATGTCTATTCCTGGCATTCAAATTCTAACTTTTTTTCTATTTTAGAAAGTCATGTCTTCTTTCTTTCCTTTGATACTGTTTTCTTCTGTAGACTCTGGTAGTCAGAAATAGTCAGACACACCTGAAAACTAAAGAGCTTACCATGGTTAAAAAGCATGTCTGTGTGGAGAAGAGTTTTATATATAATTATAATTCCCAAATAACATAAATTCAACTTCCAGAATAATATGAAAAATATTCATTGCTTTGTGTTTACAAAGGCATATTTTATTTTTAATTATGTGTGTGCGGGAAGGGGCATGTGCAAACATGAGTGCAGGTGTCCAGAGCATCCTTGAGAGGGGAGCAGATTCCCTGGAGCTGGAGTTAAAGGTCTTTGTGAGTTGCCTGTGTGGATTCTGGGAACCAAATTTGGGTCCTCTGTAAGAGCGGGACACACCATTAACCTCTTAGCTGTCCCTCCAGCCACTCACATTCCTTTATTCTAAAAAACGATTTCCATAACCTCAAGAGAATCATAATGATCTCCAATAAAAAACTGTATCATCATATTTCCTCACTTCCCACTGGCTCAATTCACTCATTCTTTCAGTGGCTGGGTACTAGCTGGACATCATGTCAAACAAAACACAATGCTATTAGGATCCCTGCCTTTGTTGAGTAAGGAAGAGATCTGGTAAAACAGAGAGATAAACATTAAAAGAATGCAAGATTCATGGGGATAAGGACTTTTGTTTTTGTCCAACTACATACCCTAAGTACTTAAATGAGTATCAGGCATACAACAGACATGATAGCTCCCCAATATCTGGTGAATGCTAAATGGATATGATAGGGACATTTAGGAGACTCTGAGATACTAAGGAAAGACCAATAAACAAAGTAAATATTTTTGACGTATTAAGTTGGCATGGCTGGAAAAACTGCTGCAGAGCCTTCAGTATTAAGGGAACAGAGAACTTGAAAGTCGGGGTTAGAAGGAGCAGAGAGTTTGGCTGCAGCAACAAGCAAAGGGTGAGCATGCTGTCATCTGAAGTAACCAGAAGTCATACACCAAAAAGTTTGGAATTTAGACCAAATCTATTGAGTGATTTTAAGCGTGTAAGAGCTTAAGCAGTATAAACATGTAGATGTGTTTAGGAAAGGATGACCGAGGCTGAAATGTGACAAGTGATAGGGAATGAGTGTGGCTGAGCAGACCAAGTCAGGAAGCTTCATAGAAATCCCAACAGCATGTAAGTAGCAGTGGTCTAAACAAAGGCAAATGTAAAGGGACATAGGGAATTGGGCATATTTCTAAGATTTCCTTGGCTGTTTGGAATAGGGAAGGCAGGAAGGGAGTTAAAGAAGACCAAAGAGGCAAAGACTGGACTCATATCTCCAGTCTTGGCCAATGAAGAATAGAGAGTATACCTTCAAAGTAAGGAGACACATTTGGAGGGAATTTCACTTTTGGAGATGGGGAGTTGTCAGCTTTTCAAGTTGTTATAGACTAGATTTCTACAGTTATCTCATTTTTCCTACAAGCCTAGACTAGATTATCAGGGATCCATCACAACTGGGTAAAACACCCTTGAGTACCTATTATAGAATTTATAAGCTGAGCTTGCTTACATGACCATAAGTTACACTTAGAAAATGAAGTAGTTTTCTTGGGTTGAGGAAATAGTTAGGTGAGTAAGAGTGCTTGCTGTTCAAGTATTAGTGCCTGAGTTCAGATCTTGATACCACTCTAAAAGGCCAGGCAGCATGCACCCCTGTAACCTCAGAATTATGCTGGATGAGCAGAGATAGGAAGGTTGTTGTGAGTTACTCCTGACTCAGAGGAGTCATTTCTCTCATCCTCATAAAGGACAAAAACACATCAGCATGCCCTTCACATCGTTCCCAGTAGCTTTCTAAGCAAGGGACAAGAACCAAAGGAGCATCTCATTTTTATTGCACCAAACAGGCTTAGGAACTAGAGCATTTTAGCTAACTCATGAGTTAATTTCCAATATGATTGGTAGGGGAAAGTTCTTTCTGGCTAAACAAGTGTTTGGTTTTCATTGGAGAGTCTCATGTAAATGGTGCTCACTGAACTGATTCAGCGTGGTCCATTTCAGTTTATCATATTATCTAAATTGCATGTGAAGACTCTCAGTAGGTTTCAGAGTCGCACATCAGACTTGGCTGTAGGTGCATCCAAAGCCAGTATTTTCAAATTGACTTGTACTTTTGTAGAAGTTGGCCTTTCAAATGTATTATTTGTTGGACTTGGCATTTCTACAGTGAATAACTACCCACTCACTTTTCTTTAAATATAAACTTCAATATGCTGAATCTTCCTAATGCAATCTCTACATCTCTTGGTTGCTCCTCTGCAGACTAAATGACACAGCAACAAGTGTGCTGTGCAGAGGCGGTGGGGGCTCTTCCCTTTGTGTTTGGGAAAGAGCACAAATCACAGGTGTGTCTAGTCACCTGGCTCCTTCACAGACGGGTTCAGAACCCTCTTTATGTGTGTCTAGCTCAATGTCCCTTTCAACACCCCACTGTCTGCAAACAACGAAGGAAGGGAAGGTGTATAGGGAGAAAAATGAAATGGCTGTTTAGCACACACATTCTTACCTCTACCCAGCTTTGAAATCATCTCATATTGGGAAAAACAGACACTTTTCTCATAATCACAGTGCCAAATGAACATAACTAACTCATTTTTGCAGTCTGGGATTTTCCATAGACGAATCCTTTGAGAAATGGAATGCACTGTGGTGGCTTATATTATACCATCTTGTGTCAACTTCTATTCCAGGGAAACACTGCATGTCCTTATAAAAATAATTCTGGGCATATTTCTTTATACCTGCATGCCAATATTCAAGAGCAAGGTTTAAACATTCACATTTTAGGAGCATGAAAATTAAATATTTATTGATCCATATTAATTTAACTAATGCAGTACTCTGAAATCCAGTATGCTGTTTTCACCCATTTAACCTAGAGCAATATTAGAAGGAAATCCAACTGGACACTCTTTAGTAGATTTCCAACATAAAACAAAGAAATCAATGAAAATGTGGCAACGAACAAGCCCCTCTTGCTTGAGAAGGAGGAGCGAGCGTGGAGCTTGCCAGAAGCGGGTTGTCACTCCACTAGACTAATTTTAGAGAGAAAAGAAGTCAGCGTGGTGAAATGAATTTCCTTTCTGTAGCTTGCCTGATTGCTGACATTCCGAAATCTCATAATATTCTCTGAATAAATTATCCTCATTTTGTTTAAAAAGAAATTTAACATACATTTAAATAGCGCCGTTGTGCTGGAGAGGAGCAGTGCTGATCTGTGCATTCCACTAATGGCATCGGGTGCAGAGTGAGTCATCATGGTTTTTATTTATTCATTCATCCTTGGATCCTTTTAAAAGTCTCCAAGGCCCTAATGACCATCATCATTATCATCAGTAAAAACCGCTTTCTGGTGCAAAGGCAATAGGCATTAAATTTAGAGGCAGCATTAAATTATCAGTAAAGAGGGCTTAGAATGGTGCTACACTCATATTCCTGCATACGATACATGGAAAGTTCATAGAGCAGCAGGCAGGCAGATTTCTTTTTAAAGTCTATGGTTAAGGTCTTCTCTTTTCTAGGCAATGTCTTTGGCTCAGAAGAGAATGCATGTCAAGTCTGTGCTGTATTGTGTGAGTCACTGGGAGAATAAGCAACCAAGAATAAGATGATTCTTAATTAGTTATTTATATACTTATACATATAATTAAAAAAAATCTCCATGAGAAATTGTATTTCAAGCTTTTCTCCCATCCAGAAAACTTCCTTGATATAATAAACACTGTCTGAAGAATATAATTTTTTTTAAATGTGAAAAATGTTTTGAACTAATTGCTAAGTCCTTTCCATCTCAGGATTGTTTTAAACATCCCAGTGTCATCTGCTGGGCAGGACAGAAGCCTGGCTTTTCTGTGTCACCTCCAGCAAAAGAATTAGAACTGCACTCATGGGCCCAAAGCTCACTCATATGGGGATAAACTTAGTGTCACTTCTGAAGGTATGGGCAAGTTTATACATTAGGATAAGTGTTGTTACACATGGCAATCCCCAGTTCCTTCCCTCACTCACACTTCCATCCTGGTTTGGGCAGCTGATAGAGGTCAGAAGTTATCAGAAGGAGAGCAAAGCAGAAATGGTCTTATAAACCATTGGAAATGCTGGTGGTTACACAAAGGTCTCAGAACTTAAAGCAAGGCAAGCAGGAAACCATTATCTAAAGAGCCCATTCCCATATACTAGCTAAGCCTAGAACGACTAGTTGTTTGGTTTTGAAGTATGTGGTTAGGAATTTGAAATGATCATTAAGTCTTTTTTTTTTTTTTTTTTTAGAGACAGGGTTTCTCTGTGTAGCTTTGCGTCTTTCCTGGAACTCACTTGGTAGTCCAGGCTGGCCTCGAACTCACAGAGATCCGCCTGGCTCTGCCTCCCGAGTGCTGGGATTAAAGGCGTGCGCCACCACCGCCCGGCAAGTCTTTTAAATATTGTTAGGTCTTTTTTTTTTTAAGATTTATTTATTTATTATGTATACAGTGTTCTGTCTGCATATATACCAGCATGCCAGAAGGGGGAACCATGACAGAAGAGGGTGCCAGATCTCATTAGGTGGTTGTGAGCCACCATGTGGGTGCTGGGAATTGAAATCAGGACTTCTGGAAGAGTAGCCAGTGCTCTTAACCTCTGAGCCATCTCTCCAGCCCCCATGTTAAGTCTTATTTTTAAAAAAAAATCACATCCCAGCACAGAACCAAACAAAAGGAGTACTATGGAATGCGTAACAAAAATGTTTAGACTGCTGACAAGCTTTTCAAATTTGGTCAGGTTTTTTTTTTTGTTTTTTTTGTTTTGTTTTGTTTTTTTAATTTAGAGTGACAAGTATCTTTGTGAAAACAGCTGGCCATCTCATCAATGCTTCTGTCCTTTTCTGTAAAAACTGACTAGCCTGGTCCAAGTTTAAGTTCACCATGGCTACCAGTTGAGACAATGTGTGTGAAACTGTTTTTGTTCATTGACAAATGTTGTCCCTGTCAGGGTTGCTGCTGTTTTTCTGGAACATTCACCGATTGGTAAAAGAGTGTTCATGTAGTTTCATTCCTCACCCCATTCCTTAATAAAGAGACATGTGTTTGCCCCTAAACTTTAACACTTAAAAGATGAGGCTTTTACTGTGGGTGGTTAGAAAGAGATTTCCCTAATCTAGGCAGATCCTAAGTGGAGGCTGTGGAAGATTCATTTCCATGGTACTCTCAACTCTTGGGGTTCTTTGGTAGATCAGAGCCTTGCTCAGATCTTTCCCTTCTAATGCTTTTTTGAAGGTAATAACCATTAAGCGATTTTGCCTAGAATTTTCTCAGCTTATGAACCCCATTGTACCTCAGGCAGATCAGGTTCTCATATTTCTGGTAAGTTGATGATGGTCCTCATCTAGGAAACAGTTCTCCACTTTTGTATTTTTCAGAATTCTTTCCACTATAATTCTTAACTTCTCACATTTTAAAGACTTTTGAAGAAAATATAGTTTTCTTTTTACATTCCCCCTTATCCCAATAGTTGCATTATTGTCATCTTTTATGTGCCTATACTATGTTCATGGAGGGCAACGGAGACTCTCGTTCTTATGTGGCTAAGGTTTATAGCTGTGAAATTCATTCTTAATCCTTGCATTTATGTAGGAGGGAAAATGCTTTTCCTCTATTATTGTGTGTTAAACTTAGGAAGGCCCATTCTTTCAGATTTGACTTAAGGCCTGCTGTGTTCAGGCTTCAGAATGGTCTTTTCTTCTAGGCCTAAGAAGGGCATTTCTTCACTTAGACATCAAAAAGGATGAACAAAAATTGCCTCAATTTCTTGTTTGCATTGTAAAAAAATTCTCCACATTGTCTTACACTTTCTGGGTTTCTGAAAATGAAGACCCTTCTCCATTTCTAAGGTCAAACCTTTCACACAATCCTAAGTCTTTACAATTTTCAGCTGGCCTTTTTTTTTTTTTTTTATTTTATTTATTTTTTTTTTTATTAATTTATTTTGCAATACAATTCAGTTCTACATATCAGCCACGGATTCCCTTGTTCTCCCCCCTCCCGTCCCCCTCACCTTCCCCCCAACCCCCCCCCCCATTCCCATCTCCTCCAGGGCAAAGCCTTCCCCACAGACTGAGGTCAACCTGGTAACACTGCTCTGTGTGTGTGTGTGTGTGTGTGTGTGTGTGTGTGTGTGTGTGTGTGTGGTGTCTATATGTGTGTGTGCATGTGTCTGTGTCTATGTGTGTCTGTATCTGTGTGTGTGTGCTTGTTTGTGTCTGTGTCAGTAAGTGTACATTACCTAGAATCTATTCCTTTGACAAACAACCAGTATGCAATCCAACAATTCAATATTGTATCTGTAATCCTTATATACGATACTTTCATATTTAATAATCTCATGTGCAACTTTGTCCCTTGGATTACACTTACCCATTGGTCTGCCAATTTCCACAGAAACCATTGTTTTTACTCTCTGTTTCTATATATTCAACTAAAAAAGAGATTCTGCATATAAACGAAGTTTTATAGTAGGCATCTTCCTGTATCTAAGTTAGTTCCCTTAAGATAATGTTGTATAAATTAATCAATGTCATTGCCAATGGCAGGATCCCCTCTCATTTTTTTGGTAACTCTGAAACACACACACACACACACACACACACACACACACACACACACACACACAAAGAGAGAGAGAGAGAGAGAGAGAGAGAGATTTTCCATTAATTTATTTCATTAACTGAACAATAAAAATGAGTTATTTCCTTGCCTTGGAAAAAAAAAAAAAAAAAAAAAAAAAAAGAAGGGCATTTCTTACATGACAGTTGCCATATATAAGAGTAACTTATCCTAAATTCCCTTTGTTTCAAAAGAGATATGAAAAGCCAGAGATATTCTTATTAGTATAGAGCTTGACTGTTGATCATAGTGATACAGATCACTTCCAAAAAAGGGGGGGGGGTAGATGGAGGAAGTGAAAGGGAGGGAGTACATACTGATGGAGGAAGGGAGAGAGGGAAAGAGGGAAGAAGGTTCTGAGGGAGATGGTAAGGGGGTGAGGGAATGCATTGCCATCAATTTTTGCATTTATATGGACAAATTCAGTATATAGAAATATCCTTTTGATTATATGTGTGTGTGTTTGTTCCTGTGTGAGTAGGTGCATATGAGGATGTGTGCACATACATGTGGAAGGCAGAGAAAAACTGGGTGTCATCTTCAGGAACAGCAAATAATTCTTTTGAGACAGAGTTACTCACTGGCTGGAGTGCACCAAATTGGCTAGGATGTCTGAGCAGTGTCCAGTGCTGGGATTACAAGCACATGCCACCACACCTGAGATTTTTATATGTGCTCAGGTCCTCCCAAATAGGAGGGAAGAACTTCACTGACTGAACAATTTCCCTTGAACCAGAGATTCTCACTGTTGTTCTAGAGAGCAATTTGATTTTTTTTTTAATCTTATAAGCAAAGTGACCCAAAATTGTTTGAAAAAGGTGAATCTCAAAGCTATTAAAATTTATGCATATACAAATTGTTCCATAGATAAACTAACTTTACTAGTGTCTTGGAATTTCTAGACAAATTCAAAGCTTTAGAAATCTTTATTAGTGTATGTGTACTATATATAGTTATGGGCTTAATATATTTTACACAAGTGTATCATGTACTTTTAACATATTCACCTGTCCCTCTCTCGATATCCCCCTTTCTTCCTCCACACAATCCTGCTTCTACTTCGGTGTCATATGTGTATGAACGAATTTATGAATCTATATAAAACCTAATGCACAAAAAAGTGTATGTTTTCCTAAATCTGATTTAATTCACTCACTATGATGCTCTCTAGTTCTGTCCATTTTTCTATGAAGACATAATTTCATCCTTCTTAGAGGTGAATGAAGTTCTGTTATATAATATACAATATTTTATTTTTAAATGATACTTTTATTAATTTTTTAGAATTGAATACAATGAATTTTGATTGATCATATTCACCCCCTCTCTCAACTTCTCACAGATCCACCCTGTCTACCCAACATTCAGTTTTCTTTTTTTAAAACCCAAGGAGTCTAGTTTGTGTTTCCAAACTACTCTTGAGTGTGGGATCTGCCCTGGAGTATGATCAACTCCATAGGTCACACTGTTAATATAAAACCGGGCACTGCCTTCTCTGGAAGCTATCAAATGTCAACATTTTCTCATCGAGAATTAGGACTACAAGCTCACCTCTCTGCCTCAGTGTCTGGCTAGAGCTTGAACAGGCTTTGTGCTTCTGTCATAATTG